TAATAAAAAGGCGTATCAAATGTTTCATTTACAGCTCAAAACACAAGTTATCTTACTGGCAACACTTGTAAACTCATAACAGTACTGAGAAAAAAATCCAAACAACTCCTGCTACCTTATACTTTGAAATCAAAACATATGATAAGCCTATGGCAGACCAATGATGTTCACTACTACAGTGTAGCACACTCTCAAGATTTTTTTTCCCCTAACTTAGGTATGAGATGATGTAATTGAAAAAAATTTACACAAAACTGATCAGATCAATTTGCTCTTCAAACCTCCACGTAAAGTCTTTATTTATCCTTTGTGAACCAGAAGCCACAATTTAAGCAATTAGAGTGGCATACAAATTGGACTCTGCGTATTACAACCAATGTATTACAACTACTGAGCCGAAAATACAAACTTTGAAAGTCTAGACAGACATTATACCACAATAGGCTGATAAATAGCATGAATATGCATTGCCTCCCTCAACCCCCAAATACAATGAAAATTTGCTACCCTGTGATTCTCTCTGCTGTGTACAACAACTCATGATATGAAAGGTCACCACTGAACTGAGAATTCTTCCACTACAAGACTCTTGCACAAGCGAATAAACTTAGTGAGTAGTGGCATTTACTTTGATTGTCAAAAGGACATCTGGATGCAGTCACTGCAGACTTCTACTTGCATGTTACCAATGTCAAGTAATAGTTTTAAATCTATTTAAAATCCTGTACTCATTTTTTGTCTGTCTGATATGGACAGACACTTGCCCCCAACCACTGCAGTAATTTAGCTTAGTTTTTTAAACTGATGTTAATTAGACTGGAATCAAGAACAGACAAATATACATCTATCCTAGGGTTTGTTTTTTTGTTTTTTATATAGTACGCAACTGTTCCTGCACCTTACCATTAAGCTTTTATTTGCTTCCCTACTGCCTGTTTGTCTTTAAAAAAGGACAATCCTGGATAAAGAGAGGCCCTGGGCAGACACTAATCTAACTGCATGATGGCAATTTGAGGAATGTTATGCCAAGTCCCAAAAGATGCAGGACCTGCCATGCGGTGTTATTTTGGGGATCAGTAATAAAATACCTCAGATCCAAATCATGTGATATCTGGCATGTGGGGAGCCTAGCATAAGAGAGAAAGCCCCTGATGCTAAATTCCCCAGATTGAGGTTGCTCAATCACAGGTATTGGCAAAGGGCTATATTGCAGCACCTGTGTTGCCCTCTGCACAATCCCAATTGGCTATTCAACGAGCTGGGGCAGTGGGCAACCCCATGTCTGGAACACATCACACAGCTTCAATTTAAAACAGGATATAAACTATTCACAAAGATGTTCCACAATTAAAATGTGAAATACCTTCGTGGCTGGTTTGCCATTTATCCTGTCATTAACTGCACAAGGCATATTATAATTCATCATGCTATTAAAGTCTTACCCACATGATAAATGTAATGTCTGCCGAGAACCTGACAGCCGAAACCTAAACAAGTGCAATGCATCTGCAATTGGGCAAAGTACCCCTAGTTTAAAGATTTGAGTCATTTCCCCACTTCCATTCCCTCCCTGCTTTTCTTTTTAACTGCCACTGATGCAGTGCCAATTACAGAAGGGTAAACTGGCATCTGACCAGGCCCCAAAATTACATTCCATATAGTAGTACCAGTTCTAAACATTTCATTTTTTAAAAGTATTCACTCTAATTCTGAGACTTGTCTGACAGAAAAGAAACAATGTACAGATTTTCATTTATTATTTCTGTATGGTACCTAGCATACAGGTGCCCAGCCTGGTTATGGTTGTTAGCTATTACCACTGTATCAATGTTCAACAAGCATCACCACCGGGCTTTAGAAAGTCAAATATAATTAGAGACAGATGTATCCAACTTGGATTCAATAACATAATCAGCTGCTACAAAACTATAAAAATATATGTACTTGAACTGACTTGTCAGGTTGTCAGTACTGATATTTATATATCAAAATATGAATTTTTATAATAAATGAAATTGGATAACTAGAGAACATTTCCCAAAAATTGTATCAGCTAAATTGTCTTCCTGGATTTGTCACAGTCAACAAAGAATGAATCCGTATCTAATTCATCCTTGGGCAAATTTTAGTTTGGTGAAGTCATTTCAAACTCGTAACAACAAATTTCCACTGCTCTCTAAAAGGAGAGAACCCTCAATCAGCATATTAACTACATAATAACGGATAGTCAGAAAAAAAAAAAAAGTCTACAAGAGGAATTATTGAAGTCAACAGACCTGCACTGAATTTTCTTAGCTAGTATTGGGAGAATAAATGTTATACTTTGTTTCCCATTTAATTCTAAACTTTATTACAAAATATGTTTTCCTTCCATTAATGCCAGTTTATGGCACAATATCAAGGGATATCTGGACTGTATGAGGATACAAAAATCACCCAAGCCTCTCTAACAAATGGCCTACGTTACTGTCAGACAGGTAAGAATATTAAAACATCAAAAATAAATTAAAAAAATATTACAATATAAAAAAAAACCCAACAAACAAACAATCAGGCCATTTTACCAAGCAAAGTTTTTCAGTTCCCACAAAAGAGAGGGGAAGATTTGTCTGCTTGTCAGCATCTGAAAAACAGGTTGCAGGTTGCGAACAAAATATTAAGAAAGCTCAACTTCCCATGCTTTGAAAAGACTAGGACCAACACTTAAGAAAAATGTACTGACAGTGAACCTACTTTTATTAGACAGGATGCTTAGGAAGCTACCCTGGAAGCGAGCACACCTGCTATAGCCTGAATGTTTATATACCTCTTTGCATATGACTAATAATCTTGTCTCTCTGAAGCATGGTTAGGAGGAAATAAAGAATTTTAAAAAATGTTAAAACATTAAAAACAAGATTATTAATGTTTCGCCTGAAGTGTACTTCCTCACTGTAACTGCTTGTCACTCAGAATTATCCTTCTTGAAATATGCTGTCCAAGTTATACCTGCTTTTTCTCTTGCCCCCTCCCTCCCACTCACTCAGGACTTAGCTAGCTGAGGAGTGAATCCATCTATCTATAGTTATGGACTGATTCTCTATGACTGATGAGGTTGTGTAGGAAAGATACTGCATATGCTGAAAACTAAGAAAAATTCTGGCTTTGTTTGCTTTTTTTTTTCCAAATAATGAAATATATAAATTAACTTAATAATTTAAAGTATTTTATGAAAAGCATAAGTATAATGACTAAGATGTCTCAAAACAAAAATTGCAGAAGATGTGGCCAGAGTGTACACAAGAAAAGGCATCTCTGAATAAGAGGCAAACACTAAAAGAAACATCCTGAAGTTACAGAGACTAAAATGTGATATCACATAATCCAGGCTTCTTGATGAATACTAGTATTAAATAAACTGTCACATGCAACTTCTATAAAAGCAAGTACCACGGAAAAGTTTGGGGAAAGTGTCATAGCTGAAGTATTATAGTATAGGCTTACAAAGAAACCACATCACAAAGAAAAAAAAATCCAAATTGAACAAGAACAGAAAAATAGATAAACTACCAGTCTTCCTCACCCAAATACACAATTGTCTTTTCACTTTCATATAGGAGGTTATTATATCCCATAAAACAACTTTGTAAAATAAATCCTTCAGGCTAACAGTAAGTCAATGTCAAGACTTCACATGTACTTTAACAGGCATTACATGAGACCCATAAGCTCCTGCAAAATGCTTTTAAACATCTAAATATACACATAAATGATTAAGCTTCTTCTTTATATTTGCAGTATTCGGGATATACAGAATACAACAGCAATTACTCTGGTGTTGAATTAGACAATATCAGGTATGGTGCTAGATGCGACTGCCAGTATTGATCCTTTAAAACTAATGATATTTTGATAATAAGAAATTTTACAAATAGGAGGAAAGAAATGTCTTTACAAAGTTTGTATCAAACTTTTTTTTCTTTTTTAAAGAAGCAAAACAGGTAATTTTCTTCTCATGGGATAGTCAATACAAAAGGTAAGATATTTAAAATTCCCCATGATCTCTCTAACATCTTAAGATATAATGGTTTAATGTTGCCTTATTTTATATACATTATGCTGTTTTAAACCTGCACTTCTCTCAGCTCAACTAATGAAGCTGGGCAAGTGCCAAACTCATTGGACGCACAGGCCAGATCTGGACCACAGGGCTCCTCATGAGCAAGATCCAGTAGGCAGGACTCCCCACAAGCTGTATGTCCCACAAAAAGCAGTCATAGCATTAATTTCTGCGGCTTCCAGAACTGCCGCTTTGGCACAGTTCTGGAACCCAAGGATTTAAACATCACTATCTCTTTACTACCCGCAATCCCTGCCACCTATCTCAGTCAACAGGGGCAATAAAAAACCCTAATTTCAGTAGTCAAGGGGGGAAGGGAAGAGGAAGAGATGAAAGGGAGTGAAAGGGGGAGACAAGTAACATTAACTCCTTGGCAGCCACAGTGACAAGCTTCATTGGCCAAATCTGGCCCAGGAAGGTGGATGGTCCAGCCCACAAGAATCCCCATTGGCTGGTTCATCCACCTCCTAGGACCAGATGTTTAAAGCACCCCTGAGCTAAGATATACAAATTGAATATTGTGCAACTATTTGATTAAAAACTAATATAATAAACCTAGAATTTTCTTTCCTGCCATTTCTAATACTTGAATATAAACAAGCAAATGTTCAGTTTATGTACAAATGAACTGGAAATCTAAAGCCTAAATGTTAACCAACATTTAAAAATTCTTTTCTCCTTAAATAAATTTAGTAAAATGAATTTTGCATTAAATATATTTATTTCTTTTGCTCCTCTCGTCAGCAGTATCACTACTGTACTTATATGTTATTTACAGGCCTCGTTCCTTTTAGTAAAATTAAGGTACCCAAATAAAGAGTTTTGAACAGGTAAAATACAGGAAGGGACTGTGCTAAAACGAAATTAATCTGTACTTGATAAAAGACACTTTTCTTTTTACCTGAACGTTAACATCTTCTTTCTTAAATATTAGTGCTCGAACTTCATCAGGATCCCCATTAAATATCGCTTGAACCAGTGGTGGCTGAAAAGAAAGACAATAAATTAAATTTATATAAACATACATTCCATTCCAATATTTACTTTACAAGTACATTTTTCTGATGACAACACACCACTAAAAATACCAAATTAAAATACCTCCAATACCCAAGGCAGTGAAGGGAGACAACAGAAACTACAAATGTTGGCTTGGAAGAAGCCAAAAACAAAATAAACCCTCAAGGAAAAAATACATCATACTAATTTTGGACAAACCAATCAACCATTCATTTAAAAAAATTCATCTAGGTTTTTATAAGTCTACTGACAAGCTAAAAGAAATGCACTGAAAAAATCCTTGTTCAAAAGAAACAACTAGTCTAGAACATATTACAAAGTATTCAGAAACAAGTACATCTGATATTCTTAAAGTTGAAGTAGTAATTCATATCTATTTGGATATATGATAAGAAAGCACAGAGTAACCGAAAGGTATAGTAACAAATGCTCATGGATTAGAGACACATTTATTACTAAATATAAAACTGGATTTCCTAGCCAGCATCACAAACTTCTAAGACCATATCATGTCAGAATCAAACAGCAAGTCAGTTAACCAAAGTAAAATTCTGTTGTAAAATTCATATTTTTTTAAGAGAGCACTGAACATTTCTGGAAAGTAGCAGCAGCTACATTCATCTACAATCTGATTTAACTTTTTATTTTAGTATGTGACTGACATTGCTCAGAGTACATCATCTACTGTACCAGTTCTCAAAATACACACAGCTTATTACTGCATTATAATGGTTACATCAGTTTCTAAAGTGGTACTAAATAGATACACCAGTGAGGAAATGTTTACCACAAATGACATTTGCTCAGGCTTGCTAGAAACTGTATACTGCTATTAAAAATAAAAAGCTCCCATTTGTTAACTGTGTCACAAATAAGGAGTTACATTTAAAAAAGAGCCCTTGAAAGTTTTAATTTCATAAGTAAGTTTCAAACATCTCTCTGCTTAACATAGCTAGTTTACATTTTTAATTACAACTGCTCGTTCAGTGACAAAATAATCCAGTTACTACTTTGCATATTTATGTAAACCCTCTGACAAGCATCATGGGAACTTTGCCGCTCTTACAAACATTGAACATTTAACAAAACAGACAGGTCTTACCAACACATTTCCAGAAGGTGATGGATGCAGAGATAGGTTTTCCTGAGGTAATTTGGAAATAAATGTGGGAGAATCATCTTCTACCTCCTCCAAAACAACAATACAGACTCGACTCATTCGATCAGTTTGAAAATAAAAACCTATATTCAGAACAGCGCTGTAGAAATCGCAGTCGAGGCAGCCCAGAAAACACTTTCCTCTGCCTATATACTCACAAACTTAAGTTCTGAACCTATTGCTGGTGTTTTAATACTAAAAAAGGACACTGTTGCACTTCCTTATATTTCATTTTCTATATTTAACACCCTGGGGTGCTCAAATGATCCTGTTTAAAAAAAATGTATTTTTTTCAAAATATGATTTCATCCAACATCTACACTACAACACTGGATTTGTGGAAAATGTATCAAAAATAGTCTTCAGTATAACTACATTACAGTAAAAATGTCATTGTAATAAATCTCTGTTACGTCCTTTCACCAGCAAATGTTTTTCTTAATATCGCTACTTCTACAGCATAAATTTATCCACACAGTGAAATCATTGTTGTAGACGACATGACACTATCCTGTGTAGAATGAAACAAGGAACAATTGCTCTGACAGAGATGATCACAGCTACACAGTCCCACAAGGTCAGTTTCCAATTAACAGTATCAGGCTTTCTGGTGACTGAAAAATAAACACAACTGTTCTTAATGGTTCAGGTTCTAATCATTTTGCAATTTGGCAACTTCATTTGTCAATGTCAAACACAGTCCACACGAATTTTTCAGCAGTCCTTCAGAACATGATGCTCAGAGGTTGACAATTCTTTCCCATGCAATAAAAATCTCTGCAATGTACAGCAAAGCTGCAGTACATTTACATGCAATGAGTCAGACCACAAGGGACAATGGAAGTCCTGGAATAATACTGCCCGTTTAATCCAGATTTCCCAAATGACAGAAATGTAGATAGCTTTATTCCATCAGTGACAGGAACAACGCAGAACATTCATTTTTTCTCAATCAGGCAGTTGCTGTGGCTGCTCCAACAGGGAAGGCATTAGACAGAAATGCTGTTAAGGAAGACTGCTTCAGCAAAAACAAGCAAGCTACCAAGGCACAAGGGCTCAGATTACTGCCTTAGACTTCTGAAAAAGCAGTTCATCACTCAAGTGTTTCTTTTGATCACCATGTGAATACAGTTCCCATTATAGTCTTCACTCAGAGGAGAGGAAAGAAAAAAAAAAAATTAAAAAAAAAAAAATCAGACTCTGTGCATCTTCTTTGAGCCAACTTCTTTATTCGAACATCTGTCTCTGTGCCAATTGGATTTTCCTCCGGCGTTCAACGTTCTTCTTATCAGTTTTTTTGCTGGTGATTTTTAGATTGTGTTGAGCAGTTCATGCAAAGCTACTGCCTCAATGGGTCATTAAAGAACACATTAACGGCACAAAAGTCACACCCACAGAAGCATTCCAACTGAGCAATAGTCTAAAGAGCACAGACTGCAGACCTGCAAGATGAAATGCCTAGTAATGCTCACGTTACACTTACCAGAGAACTGAGCCACTGCTCTCTAATGCAACTTCCTCTAGCAAAAAAAAAAAAAAGGGACTTTTGGGCAGTCTTCACATTTGGAATGTTTGTACCAGTTTGATGACTAATTCAGCTCAAACGTAAAAATTCTATAACTGAAG